GTACGTACGTACGTACCGTACGTACGTACGTTACGTAGTTACGTACGTAGTGTAGTAGTAGTAGTAGGTTAGGTAGGAGGTAGGAGGTAGTAGTAGAGAGAGAGAGAGAGAGAGAGAGAGAGAGAGAGAGGGGGGGGGAGGTGTAGAGCTTACTATAAATGGTTGAGAGAGGGAGAACGATTGATGGTTTTGAGGCGAGTTTGACAAATCAAATTCCCCTCTCAAATGCTGGGTCTTGAAAACCTTGAAACAAAGAGAGGGATAAAGGTAGATGACTTGTTTTGTAATCTATTTCCATTTTTGTTACTACTAAAATGTACGCAAATAACCTCTCTTTTTTTTGGGTAAGTAAAGTGGTAAAGTCAGTGGGCATTTGGGCCCCTACCCTTTGGTGAGATTGTCACCATGATGCTCGACAATACTACCACCAAGGCCCCAGGTCATTCTCGATTCAAATAGCCTCTTAGGATGGAAGAAGATGTCAATCCCAAAAATGTGTTTTCCACAAATACATGGGTCAACGTATTATTTATTTGGGCACTTTTTGTACTAAAACATTAAATAATATTAAATATGTGCTTGGGGTCTAGAATTATGTAGTCGCGTGATTTTCCTGAATTGAGAAAAAAAACTCAGGCTTTTGCAACCGCAGCTTAAGTGTGGAAAAAAAACCTTATGTTTATTTGATTGTGATTGTGTTTGGTTTTTTTTTATTGCCGACTTTATTATTTTCTCAAGTTCTCTACATCAATTGTTCAACCCTCAATAGCCCTGGGTCGGTCCATTAAATTTGGATCGATGGGTAGGTCCTGACTTGAAATGTAGGCCTGATGGTCAGGGCAGACTTGCCCCAAAGGCCATGGCTTGGGCTATTCTGACCCCTACATAGTATTATATCTTTTGTTATTAAAAAAAAAAGAGAGTTCCATTTCTACACGGCCCTATTGGACCCATTAAGTAGGAAGGGTTGAGCCACCTAGTTCGAGAGCAGGGTTGAGCCTCTCCCCACTGGCTTGGTCTAAGCTATGCCACCAACCCTAAGAGTAAGGCGGGTCTGGTCCAAGAGTACAAGGACCCTTCTTGGTTTCCCATCAAACCCAATACAGGACATGTGATATCAATTTGAATTGGCAATTTTCAAAGCCCTAGAGTAAATGTTAGTTTTACATACCAATTTTTAGAAGGATCATTTTTTATGAGTCATCGCATCATGTTGTAGATCTGTGCTCCCCTCTTAAATCCAAATTTTAAGTGGTATTCTTGAATATATTAAAAAAGGGTGTGGTTTGTACAAGGCGGAACTTTAAACAATCAAAGTAGGGCATACCTTTAAATAATGTTGAAATATGTTGTTTTAATATTTGAAATCTTTATGATGGCCTGAAAATTTATTTTTATTTATAACAATAAAATTTAAAGTTCAAGACTTTAAATTTTTCAACAATTAAAAATCTTGAAAATTGACGTTCTAGATAATACATTACAAGATGCACTATTTTCAATAATTAATTAATTTTTTTTTCTCATGTCCTGTATCTTGAGGTTGGGATGATCAAATTGAGAGTCTTTCAGCATTAAAACAATAATTTTTAGTGAATTTTTCAGATGCATCTTAATAGATTGTTTAGAGCCTCTCATTTATATAATTTTTTTCTATGCAAAAAGTAAAATTTTAAATTTTTAAAATATTTTTAAATTGTTATAGCTCCCGACCGTCCGGCCCACAAAACACATTTCCCATAGAGAAATGGCACATTTCACCCCCCTCCATCCAAGTCATCAAATTTCATGAAATCAAAATTTCCCTCCATTCCATATACCCAGGCATCCTGGGACCCACGTTCACGTTGAAGTATTCAAAACTTTCAAATTCCAAATTTCCACAAATTTTATACTCACTTTCAAATTTCAAGCAAGATCCTCGTCATCACACTTCCCCCTTCTGACGGGGTGGTGTCAAATTCGTACTCCTTTGCTTTTATGTAGAGCATTCTATCGCCACCTATGTTTATACCATTTACACCCAAAACAAGGGTTTTTTACACTCCATATTGATCACTTCAATAACATTTTCATTGTTTTTGGGTGCGAATAGCTAAACGTAGGGTTCAATTAACAAATCACTTATTTTAAAAAGGCCAATATAAATACGGTGTTCCCTTTCCATCCGACAGTCTTACGCGACGCTCGCGTGACGCCTGACGCTTGCCCGTGACGCCTTTTTCTCTCTGCCCTTCTCTAATGGTGCCTTACTGGTATGATTTCACTGTATTCCTCTCATATTTTAAGGGTTTTTGACTATTTTGGACTGCAGTTTACTGCCGTTTTCCTCGATTTCATGGACTGTTATGAATTCTACTGTTTTTATCTGAATTTTAGGGTTTCTTGATTTGGTTTGGTTTGCATGACTTTGTATCTTCTGGAATTTAGGGTTTGTAGATTTGGTTTTCCGGAACTGAAGTAATCTATAGGATTCAGTTCAAAGGTCGTGTTCTAGTGTATTTTGTCTTCGTAGTGATTTGCACTAAGGGTGTGAGCTAGTTTCGAGTATTTATTGATATGATAGTTTTAAGCTTGCTTTCAGAATCGTTTTTTGTCTCTTTTTTGAAGGTGGAAGGTTTGCTAGTACCTTGAGCTTCGGTTTTGTGTGAGATTACCTGCAGATAGGTAGAAGGATTTTTCTAGGGTTTACTGTTGTTGTGCTAAGTTTCTAGCATTTATTGCTTCGATGGTTTAAGGAAGCTTTGAGCATCATTTTTTGCTTGTTTTTTTGAAGGTGCATGGTTTGGTAGTACATTGAGCTTTGGTTTAGTGTGGATTGTCTGTAGATTGGTACTTGAGAAGTATTTAGAAAAGGATACTTTGATTAGAAATGTGGTTTATTTATAGCTCCTATGGCAATGAGTGATGTAGCTCTGGTTAGAAACGTTGTGAACTTTGGGATACTTACGCTGCATGTTATCTGGAGTTCTCTAGGTGTAATTATATGATTGGTTGGTTAATATAAAAATTAATGAATTCTATTTCCAGTTAGTTTGGGGAAGCATTTTTCAATTTTAACTGTAGTTTTTATATTATCTGGATTCTTGAGAGGAGCCCTATCATTGTAGTTGTATGAGTAATTATTTTGTGGTTTTGGTTGATCATTGAATTTGTCAAGGTGTAATTCCGTTGGTTTGGGAAAATAATTTCAGGATCAACAGAAATTTTTACATATGTTGTATGTAGTTTGAGAATGTGCATGATTGTTGCAATTTTGGCAGCAATTGCTTTTCTTTTTTGCTGCTTCCATATATGCTGGGGTATTCATCATACCAAATGGGTATGGGATGTTGCCTAAATGTGGTATGGGATTTTTGTACTTTATCACAATGATGTACAAATGTAGCTGTTTGATGCCTGGAAAGAATATTTGGATTAGCAGGTAACTGCGTGTAGTATGTAGCCTTCCCCCCCCCCCCCCCGGCCCCTTTTTTTTGGGACCTTGGGTGTGCTGTGTGTACTCTCTTTCCTTTTTTTTGAACTTGGCTGTGTAGTTTGTTGTTTTGTACCTGCCATGCATATTGTGTACAATGCTTTTGTGTTCTCCATGGTAGTTCAACTCGGTTGAGAAGAGATAAAAATGCAATGGTTCAAATGCTCATGTTTCACTCAACCAACTTCACTGTGGGGGTGTTGTTAGCGGATGCTACTTACTATGTTCCCACATTTAACTTACTGAAATTGCTAGCACTCCAGGGTCCCCCCCTTGAGTGCCTCTTTTCTCAATTTTAGAGAGCATTTTCCCCATAATCAAACAAGGGATATGCCTTAAGTAGAAAGAGCAATCGAGGATTGCACTTTCTGCCCCACCCAAATGCCCCTTATATCTTTATTGAAATTTGGAGTGTAGGAAAGCACATGACCTGATACCAGTGTTTAAAAAATCGTTGATCCAGATCTGAATTGCTCGATCCAGATTGGAAATCCTAGGCGATCCGGTTCGCGTAATATATCGGGAACCGGCCGATCCCCTCCTAAAATGGGATGGTTTGAACTAGTCTGTACCAGTTCTCTAACAGAATTGACTGGTTCTCTTAGAGAACCGGTACGGATCGTCTATGAACCAGGTTAAAAAATTTGAATTTTTTTTCTAAATAGAATAGGGGGTGGGACCCACCCGCTTTTAAAATTTCAAATTTTTTATCATAGAGAAGTAGTCATGTGGGCCACGTATTTTTTTGTTATCCAAAAGCCCATACCCCCATTAATACAAGATGGCCCTCAACCTTTAAGACCACCCTTGCCTCTATGAGCCACCTCATCTTTACTAGGGTAGCTCATTCTTGACATGCTCTTTCCTACCCCGCTTTTAAAATCCCTTGACCCGTGAAGCTTTGGTGAGGCTCTGATGTGGGACAAAAAGAGGCGGTGAAAAGATAATAACAGAGAGAGAGAGGCTTTGGTGAGGCTTTGATGTGGGACTAGAGGGGGCATTGAAAAGATAATAACACAGAGAGAGAGAGAGAGAGAGAGAGAGAGAGAGAGAGAGAGAGAGAGAGAGAGAGAGAGAGAGAGAGAGAGAGAGAGAGTAGAGTAGAGAGTAGAGAGAGAGTAGAGAGAGAGTAGTAGTAGAGAGAGAGAGTAGTAGAGTAGTAAGTAGAGAAGAGAGTAGTAGTAGAG